GTGTAGCAAAAAAAATAACATTACATATACTGTTCTTGCTTTTCATATTGTAGATATTCTATCAAGTCAAATAGTATAAATGTAATTCACTGAAATGTCTACAAGATATTCCATTATATAGATGGGTTGGAATTTATTCAACTGTTTTTTGTCAATGAGTATCTGGGTTATCTTTAGTGTTTATTTTTTGTTTTATTCCACTTCTGATACCACTGTCATAAATACCCTTACACAGAGTCTTTAGAGATCCACTACATCATTTTAAAGAAACTAAACTGTCACTTGGGACCTGCTCAAAGATACCTTTGCATGGACCTTTGTAAGTCAGTGGCAGATACTGATCTAAAACCAGCACTCCTAGCTGCCTCAGTGTATGAGGGGGCTTCAACAAGTTAATTGAAAATTTGAATTATAAGATAATGTAATTTTTCCATTAACTTTTTAAAGCCCCTGTAGGACAAGCACTCAACTGCAACTGTCTGGGATTCAAACCAATCCTTGGAAACCCTATATAGGTCACTATGGGTCAGAACCAACTCAATGGCACTTAACAACAAGAAGTTAAGCAAGGAGTCCTGGTGTGGTGGTACAGGATAAGTACTGTACTGCTAACCACACAGTCAGCAGTTCAAACCTACCAGCTGCTCCTTGGCAACCCTACACAGGTTTGCTATGAGTTGGAATTGACTCAAGACCACTTGACAACAAATGAAAGAAAAGGATGTCTGGTGGTGCCGTTGTTAAATGCTCATATGCGAACTGTAAAGTCGCACTTTCAAACTATCAGTGCTACACCAGGGAAAGACATAATTTCCATAAGGATTTACCACCTTGGAATCCCTATAGGGCAGTTCAATTCTTTCCTTATAAGATAACTCTGGAATTTTGGTGTGGCACTGTAGGATAGGCACTGGACTGCAAAGTTGGTTTTAACAAGCAAACTAGGTAATTCAAACTCACCAGCTACTCCTTGGGTTGCTATGGGTCAGAACCAACTCGACGGCACTTAATAACAACAATAACAACAAGGTAACTATGAATTGAAATCAACTTGATGATAATGGTTTGGGTTTTTAATAAGTGAGGGAAACAGAATATTCTCACCTTTGTAGCAGAACCTCAACTGTTGTTTCCTAGTTCTTCCACTTTCCTGACTACTGGCCATATCCACACCAACCCTGTAAAATCTTGAGGTATCTAGTGTTGCTCTTGGTCTTTCTCTCAAGGAGAAATGGTCTTTCTCTCTGCAGATTACTCTTTCCACTTCAGTTACATTGGTAAATGTGGGAATTCATATTCTTTCTCTTCTAATCTGTGGAGATGAAAATATTAGCAAGAATACATACAATTTTAAACAAAATAGGACAGTAATACAGAAAGTTGAATGGAAAATCAGACTAGAAATAACTTTGCAGAACCCAATTCCTATTGTTAAACAATGCTCCTAGCAAGACTAAGTGTGTATTTAAGAGAGAGAGAATGAGAAATTGAGAACTCAGAACAGGGATAATAAATTCAAATGCATAAAGAAGGCAGTCTGATACCATAAGTGGAGAAAGTACCAAACTCATAGATTATGTGTGTGAGGGGTAGAAATTATGTAAACGAAGACATCAGACACTTCTCAGTAGGCTCCTAAGGTATAGTTCTATGTGGAATATAGGCCCATTATTGCCAGTTTTTCCCATTTTTGAAAAGAATTATAAGATTATATTTTCACTTGAAATAATCTAGATATTTTGTTAAAAAAAACAACTGTCTGAAGATCATATCAGAGCTGTGCAGTTTCTAAACATATTTATATATTTAACCAATACAATTCCTCAAGAAAGCATTGTTTATTAATTTCAGGAGGCAGGGCTTGATGGTTGCTAGGGTGGAGGTGCAGCAAAGTTCGCCATCAGAAATACCACAGAATACCAGGCAAAACAGATCCAGGGCAGAGCTCCAAAACTCGGAACCACAGAGACAGGAATATTTAAAAGGTTCGAAGGATTATAGCTAGTGGAACTTGTAGTAAAAGTAAGAAAACGCATACTTTTGAATCTGTCAGACTCAGCCGACTGAAGCCGACAACTTGGGTGAGACCAAACAACAAGACCAAGTGGGGGAGCAGACACATCACGGAAAAATGCCATGAGAACCGCAGAGCAAATGTGAACAATACACTTTTTCAGTTTTGCTTTGTTTTGATATGTTTTTGTTTGTTTGTTTGTTTGTTTTTTGTATCAGTTCATTGCCTCTCCCCCCTCCACCATCCTTTGGGCACCTCCATTCTGGTGATTAGAGGGAGTGCCTGAGAGGGTGGACACCCCCCACTCTCACCACTGGTGGGTTCTTCTGTCACGTGTGTGCACAGATACACTCAGCCCAAGAGCTGGCCCTGAACTGTTTTGT